GAAGTACAAAGAATAGGGAAAGACAGATTCAATGGCTGGAGGCAGTGTCATGTGGTGGGGAGAGTAGTAATTCAGAGACATTTGCTGCCCAGAGCTTCAATCTGTGATATCTGTGGCATATATACCAGAAGTGTTTGGCTGCCCCTGCTATGGACACAAAATATAATGCTTTTCGCAGGAAAAAACTCTGTAGGGCTTTTAAGGGACGTTGTCTAGGTCTGTCAGCTCAAATATTGATCCATCTAAAATCATCCGGTTGGGATATAAATCCCTAAGCAGGAGTAGGACTGGGTAACTTCTGTCCTTAGCTGTTGCATATGATTGTACACACACATACAGCATGCATACACACATACAAGTAAAATGAAAGTAAGAATGGTGCTGAATATTGCAGTTTTCTGCAGACTGCAGCATCTAATTACTCCCAGTTTCTTGGATAAATACATCCTTTTTTTCCAAAACTGGTTAAATGCATACATTTTTTCAAGATACTGTACTGTTTTATTTTCAGTACTTTAAATGCTTAATTTCTCCCATTTAGAGAGAAGGATGTCATGCAGGACAGTGTCAAATACTTTGTACAGGTTCAGGCAGATGACATCAGTTGCTCTTCCCTAATCCACCAAGACTGTAACACCATCATAGAAAGGCCACCAGATTCATCAGGCATGATTTGCCCATGGTGAAGCCATGTTGGCTGTCACAAATCACTTCCTTATATTCCATGAGCCTTAGCATGGTTTCCAGGAGGATTAGCTCCATGCTCTTGCTGGGCACAGAGATGAGACTGACTGGCCTATAGTTCCCTGGGTCTTCCTTTTTTCCCTTCTTAAAAATGGAAGTCATGTTTCCCCTTTTCCAGTCAGTGGGAACTTCACTGGACTGCCATGGCTTCTCTAATGTGATACATAGTGGCTTAGCAGCTTCTTTGGCCAGTTCCCTCAGGACCTGAAGATGTATCTCATCAGATCCCCTGGATCTGTGCACGTTCAGGTTCCTCAGATGGTCTCAAATCTGATCTTCTCCTGCAGTAGGTTGTTCCTCATTCTTCCAGTCCCTGCCTTTGCCTTCTATGATGTGGGCGGTTTGGCTACAGCCCTTGCTGGTGAAGACCGAGGCAAAAGAGTTGTTGAGCACCTCAGTCTTCTCCCTTTCCTGGGTGACTAGGTCTCCTGTTTCTGTCTGGAGAGGGCCCACATATTCTGTATTTATCCTTTTATCACTGACGTATCTTGAAGAAGCTTTTCTTGTTGCCCTTGACATCCCTGGTCAGATTTCACTCTATCGGAGCTTTAGCTTTTCCAACCTAATCCCTGGCTACTTGGACAGTTTCTCTGTATTCCTCCCAGACTATCTGTCCTTCCTCCCACCCTCCGTAGGCTGCCTTTTGTGTTTGAGTTTGTTCAGGAGCCCCTTGTTAATCCATGCAGGCCTCATGGCATTTTTGCCTTACTTTCTCTTTGTTGGGTTGCATTACTCCTGAGCTTGGAGGAGGTGTTCCTTGAATAGTAGCTGGCTTTTCTTCTCTTCATCCAATGGCTATAAAGAGGTTTGAGTGTGGTGTTGTCAACAATCATGAAAATTGACTTTGTTTGACAAGTCTCTACTTTTAAAGTAAGTAAGGTCTTACCCTGATAGGATGAAGGGGCTGCAAAAAAACATTCTTTTTTTGTTGATAGCAGTGGGTCTGAAATGCATGCCTATACCCCAAATAACAATTCAATGACTCTGCCAGCGGCTCTTCTTGACCATTTGTGGTGGTCAAACGCTTTCTTTCTGTATCCCCCAGCACTCTCTCTGAGTGGTCTCATTTGGGTTCAGAATTTGATTTATAAAGCCTAAAAGGCTGTCTTTTATTGGACAGTCACTCGTCAAGGAAATCAGGTGTGGAAATCAATGAAAGCATCTTCCAGGTCCATATCTAACTGTTTTCAAGACCAGTCAGGCTGTTAATTAAATTTTCTTGTGCCCTTTAGGTTGTCCAAATGGAGTGGAGAGTCCACTGGTTTTGGAAAGTGCTAATTGTGAACTGAATGGCTCTCTCAGTGTTTTTGATATATTTGTGTTTTGGATTTCAGGAATGGCTCCTTTAGTTACTAGTACACATTTCCTGTTATTCTGTGTAGTTCTGCTCTGTAATACATGACAACATTTTAAATAATGTTGTAGCTCTAGTCCATGCTTTGTAACGTATTTCAGGACGCATTTCCTGTCCATAATCAAAAGCAGAATATAGGATGTAACGTTATTTGCATGGCCAATGACCTCTGTATTTTCTACTCTCCACACATCTTGTGTAGCTACTAGATGCAGCTGCCAAAGTTGTGACAAAAGAAGTTTAGTCTCTATAATGGATGCTTAAACAGCCCTGACTTTGCTAGGGGCCAAGTAACTTTAAGCTGCTGAGAGAACAGGAAGGCAGTGATCGGACTGTTTGTATAGTGATATTTCCAATGGAAGAGACGCCCATTGAGCTGGAGTAAGGAGGATTGTGAAACAAACTTATAAAATTTAAATAACGTTATTACAAGTATCCCCTAAAATATGCTCTAGAATTTCTCATGTCAGCCAGTGCTAAGTGCTATACACAGCAGCTTAAATTTCAGTGGGTTTTTGAAGCTAGCATATTTGAAGTCTGTTTTCATTCCAGCCAAACAAAAATATCTACTGAAGGAAATTAGCCTTGCAGAAGGACAAAGTCATAAGCATAACAATGGTAGGGGAATCATATCAAATAAGATATGAGATTGGTCTGGAGGAGCCATTTCCCTGTCTTCTGGGGTTCTTTTCTGCTGTGTCTCACTAACTTTCATACCGAACTGTGCTTACTGGGGAAGGATGAGTGAGGGGGTGGCAGGTATATGTATGCTGCTTTGGACATACAAATTGACCCGGATTTTTGATCATGCGTTTAACCAACAGCACATAAGGACTGTCCAGACTAAGTTAGACTTAAGAAATCTGCACTAGATACTGAACTGCACAAAACCAGCCTGAGGAGCCCCTCTGTCACCCACAGAGCCTCCATATGTGTTCTACAAAGAGCAATAATTATCTTTGACAGAACTGCAGGTTATTACATGTCATCAGGGCTGCAAGAGTTGTGTTTGGTTGCATAAGAACTGGCACAGTGTCTGGACAGAGAGAAGCATAGACTTTCATCAGCTCATCTATTCCTTTATATTTTTGAATTTGACATAAAGAAATTGTTGCGAAGATGCTGTGGTGACGGTAACAAATTGAATTCTTTTTAAACACTGGCTGCAAAGGGCCTGACTCAAAGCCTCGGGAGCTCTGGCAAGCTTCGAAGAAATTTATGTGGCCTTCAGCCTGATACCCATTAAGTGGAAGCTCTGTTTGAAGGAGCTTATGTTGTGCAATGAACTCAATTGGCCTTTCTCACTTAAGTACCAGAGTAGAATGTTTGCTGTGGCTTTGTAGAATCTGAGATAAGTATAAACTGATGTCTGTGAATAAGTCAGAAGGCATGTTTACTGTTTAGCTACAGACACACATACAAGGGCAAACCTTGAAAAAAAGGATTTTTGAGTCAAAGTTTAATAGAGGAAAAACTTTTATTTTTAAAATCTCTTGTCTTTGTTCAGTTTAACTACTACTGTAAATGTTTTGACTCCTAAAATGTTTTCTTTCGCATTTTAAAAAGACGTTGAAGGGATTTTGTAACTTTCCATGAACTTACTGCTTCTTTAAACGAATTATGACTGTTTTGGCAGCAGGTACAATAACTTACCATCTATACAAAATGAATCAAATAAATGTTCTGCATTCAGTGAGCTGTCTTTTAATAATCACATTCTCTTTGGATGACTTGCTTGCAGAGCCAGGCCTTGCTATTTGCAACAGTGCCTTACCATTGTCTGTTCAGTTTCTCTGCTCCTCCAGTAGTCCTCAGTGAGAGAACCTGGGCAGTTGCATAGATAAACTAGGTTAAGATTGGAAAGACTGGATTTCTTTACCCAATGGGTCTTAGGATGGTGGCTAAGATGGAAAAAAAGAGCTGGGACTGTGTAAAGACAGTAAGTGTAAGAGAGTAGTGATTGCACAAATATGTGCAATGATGTGATGGTGGCAGATACTGGGGGAGAAGGTATTTATACGTATCGAAGTGATGGAGGTCTATCTTGGACATTAGCAGGTGATTATACCCCATACTTGTATATAGACTTCCTGGATTTCCCAGAATGATACGTTTTTAGATTTTTACATTAAAATTTTCCGTATTTCATGTAAATAAAGTTCTGATGAACCTTACTGAGGACTTAAAAGACCTTTTGGATGAGCCTGGCCTACTTTGGCAATATTGTTTAAGAGATGTGAGCAGAACTTAGTAAGAGATTTTTTTATACATTATATTGTGATTAATTTATACCTCTCCGGGCAGAGTGAGAGATCTGCATGTTTCTGACTAGGGCTATGTCCAGCAGAATTTATTTCTTTACAGCTGTACTACTCTTTAAGGACTGATATTGTACGGTGAAACACAAGCCAGGGAAGGACATCAGTGGAGCAAAGTTCTCTGATTCTTTCCTGTGACAACAGGTAGAGCTTGGCCATCAGGTGCCCAGGAGCTGCTTCTATGTTCACACCGGGTATTGCATGAAATAAGCATAGGAAGCAGACTCGTGCATACCCAACTGAAGAGCTGAGTAGGAGCCATGCCTATCTCCCTGTATGCGTGCTGTTCTTGCAATTCAGGAAATGGATGTCACTTTCCTCAATCCAGCTCTATGAGGTTTAGGTGAAAAGTTAAAAGGTATTTTGATGTTTTCTTACGAAGCTATTCTAGATTTTAGTTGAGGTGGTCTCAGTCTATTAATTGTTGATTTTGTCAAAATAGTAAGTTTGAATAATAATTTGCTTCTCCAGTGCCTTAAAATTTATAAACTTGATTTTTAGAACCTCATTGAATAGGTATTTGCAAAAAAAGAAGTAACTGTTCATTTTGGTTTTGTTTTGTTTGTTTTTCCCTACCTTGACAGTGTTTTAGAGCACTTTGCTGCAAAGGACCACCACCACCACGACCTGAATATGACTTGGTTTGCATAGGCCTCACTGGTTCTGGCAAGACAAGTCTTCTGTCACAGCTTTGCAGTGAAAGCCCGGAGAATATAGTGTCTACAACAGGTAGGATGCTGCCTTATTCCGTGGTGTGCTATAATGTTGCCCAAAGGTAACTTTTGAAACATACAGCAAAGGTAGTAGAGACTTCAGCTTAGTGTTCTTGTTTTCAACAGTTCCTAATGGATTGCCTTGAAGCTACCACTACTTACTTTTTCAGTGTTTGGGCACCCATTTGGAGATATGCATGAAAACATACGATTTGGAATGTGTTGAAAGTCAAAACATGCGGTATATTATGTGGTATAATGAAGCAGAACCATTGGAAACATACAGTGCCGGTGTAAACACACATTAAAAATTTTTGTTCTTCTCTTTTTACTTTTAGTGTTTAAACAGTCTGGTTATACGGGCAGAAAAGAGGAGAATGTGCTATAAAGTAGAGTTGGACAGTGGTGCTCTGAAACCTAAGTTGGGATTTATTTCTTTTCATACTTGTTAAGTACTGCCTTATGGTATACACTAGCAACCAAAAGAATAAGTGTAATGTTTAACTGTAGTGATAATCCTTTGTTTTTAGATCAGCAAAGAAACTTGTTTAAGTAGTAGGGATAGATTGAGATCATAGAATCAATTTACAAATGTTTCAGTGTCGTTGAGAAGATACATAAAAACCAACACAACAACCACAGCTAGAAGGTATCTTAAGTCCAAAAATTTTGAATATGCAGACTGCTGTTGATGAACCAGAAAGAGTAATACTGAAAAGAGTATTTTGATTAAAAAAATCTTCATAAACCCAAAAAACAAAATGTGGAGTGAGAAGAAGGAATTACCTGGCTACAAAGTTCGGAAAGAGGACAGATTAGGTCATAGAAATGGAAGAAATCTGGTTCTGTGGCTGCAGCAATTTACTAAGGTCGATTTGCTGAGGGAACAGATAGTGCTGTATGAGCAACTTGTGTTTATAGTTACATGGCTTTATGTTGTATCTATGGTTCATATGCTTGAATTTTATGATTGTCCCTTAGCAACCCTAACTGGTTTTCATTGTATTGTTGTTTAAATTGCAAGAACATAAGGTTATTTAATACAACTGTAAATAAACAAAGTGAAACAGGTACAAGTAAATTTTTTTTTCTGCAATGAATAATTAAACAATTACCGTCATAGTGTTGTTTCTGAGAATGTTAAAGGGATCTGACACTTCATTGTATGAAGAAGGTGTCAATGCTAACTCAAGAAGTTAGAAGGAAATTGTAGAGTACTTCAGCCTTCCCCCATCTTTGTCTTTACGGTTCACCTGGAGTTAGTGCAAATTATGCTTTAAGACTTTAGGTCCTCAAAGAAGTAGTAAAAACAATGTAAACAGCAGTATCAATCTATCAAAGGAAAAATTAACTTTAAAATTAAATTTGTAACATGTTTGTAGATAGTTGCAACAAAATTTATTTAGTTGCATTTTTAGTTAAGTTAGGCCATTATTTAGTTAAGCAACTCCAGGAATGAAGGAGGACTCTGGAGAAAACTAGGGAGCATCCAAATCAAAATTATGCGTATCTACGTTTATTATATCTATACATATTCAGCTTATGGTAAATCTACCCATATGCACCATATCTGTACTATATCAGAAAATATTTTTGAGAATCCAAGAATACAATGTGAAAACCTCTCCACTCAGTTTTCAAACTAAAACCTGTATTTTTGCTTTTCTTGTCATCAACACTCAGATCTATTCCAGTTTTTCTTCCTTTCTAGGAAAAGTTTAGGATTTAAGACAACAAAAATATTTCATAATTATTCCCTTCAGATTTTCTTGCACTTTCCTCTACTGCATCTAGCACATACCATGGTTGACGTACTAGATTATCTTGTTGGTCTGATCTGAGAGAAAAAAATACCTTGTTTCTGTTAAATGATAGCTACTAAACTTGGAGTGAAACACATTTTTTCAAAACTTCTTTATTCAGTTCACAGGTATGTAATCATGTTGAAACTACTTGTGCTAAATGGAAATCTGGACATTCTATGCTGAAAGAACAGGCATAATTTTTCCTATATAAAGTATTATATATAGTTATATGTATGTATGCAGTAAACATGCAGAATTTAGTACATAGTATATTGATGGATTGCTGGGAGCCTTTCACGTTTCCTTTCTCTTGTCTGTCTGAATTTTCAGTTCAAGAACATGACACTTTAAAAAAAGTTTTTTAGGTTTAAGCATATAACAGTCATAGATGCTTCTAGTGTGCTTGTAACCATTTTAATGCATACCACTTAGGTCTGTAAAAGGATCTTTCTGTTAATAACATTATAGTCAGGATTAATACTGTAAGTGTAACTTAAATCTGTGAAGTATAAGTGTAAGAAAACAGTGATTTGAGTTGCATGTTGTCTTCCACTTCTCCTGAAAATCACAGAAGGATCACTTCATGCTACTGGTAGTCTGAAATCTAAACTTTAGTTCCAGATGCATTAAAATATGACTTTATAAAGGTGTATCCTGTACTGATTCCTTACCAAATGGCCTGGTTGGAACTTTTGTGTTGAATGTTATGTGTGCCAACTATTTAATTGCTCATACTGATTTATCACCCCTGCCCTTATAACTGATATTTTAAAACGTCGTGTTTAAACAGAATTTCACATGCAAAATTCTGGTTCGTGATGAAAAATCTAGTCTTTTCTGTATGTATGTAATTGATTTCAAATGGCTTCTTTAACAAATAACTTACTGATACTCTTATTCTGTTCTTAGGTTTCAGTATAAAAGCAGTGCCATTCCAGAATGCTATCTTGAACGTAAAAGAACTTGGAGGTATTGCATTTATTCACTTGATTTTAAAAACTGTAATGTCTAAATCTCATCAAACAAATAATACAAAACTGTTAGTTTTAAATTAAAAAAATGATGAATCATGTGTCTGGAATTTAAAACCTGTGTTTCATCACAGCAGATAAAGTTGTGAAAAATTGTACAATGCAGATTACAAAGAACAAAAAGTAAATGGCAGGAGGAGCGGAGTGCGTGGTGTATTGCTTTAGTGTAATGATGGTTAAGCTTGCAATGGTTAAGCTACACAGAAATACATATTGGACTGTAATTGTAGTTCAGCTCACATTGCAACTCAAGGATGTGCGTTCCCTGTGTTTATTGTATGTATAAGCTTTTACTTAGGAGCACTCAGGTGACTTTTGAGGCTCAAGTAACTATGTGAACATTTGGCAAAACCAATATATTTACTGCATCACTGAAAGTATTGCAAAGACAGCCAACTTCCAATGAGTTATATTCTTTAAGATCTAGTCTATTGTTGGATTTGTTGAGTTTTTGGAGGGATGGTTGTTTTGTGCTTGTGGTTTTTCTGCGTGTCTGTATCCAGGTAAGCAATTTGGCTGCCCAATTCTGACCCTGAGTCTTAAGTATTCAAGAGGTAGCTCTGTTAAAAGGAAGAAAACATTTCTCTAATGAGAGTTCTTACAGAGTCTAATTTAATCTAATGTTGTTCTAATTAAAAAAAAAAAAAAAAAAAACAAAAACCCACATGGATCTTCTTTATATTCTAGAATCTCTGTAGATCTTTGTTATCTATGTAAATAGAGTAGAATGAATCTTGGGAATGTTCAGTAGATTTTCAACAAGGTGCAAACCTTTCTTAAATGCTGTGGGGTAGAAGTTAACTTGAAGGAAGTTTCATGAGATCAAATCAAGTTTCATGATGATTGTCTTATCTAAAACTGTTTTAAGAAGGCTTTGAGATAAGCACGTATTAAAAGGGTAGCATTTCCTCTTCACTGCCATTGTTCCATGGATTTAAACATACATGTTCTTGTTTGAGCATGTATCCTGTAAAAGAAGCAGAAGTTTTCATCGATAAAGAGACCACTACACAGGGATAGTGTGTGTTCTGCTTGAGTGTGTTATCTGCGTAATGTTCACTTAGGTCACTTTTGGGATTTTTTTGGAAATAGGATGAATCATTTGCAGCCCAGTTTATACATTCCACTGCCTGATCTCTATGAAATACATAATTCGTATATGTAAATACAGTTTTTACATCAAAAATTGAATCTGAGTATTTTATAGCAGTTCCTTGTTAAAGTCTCTTCCATAACTTAATAAAGTCTCTTCTGTTCTTACAACTTTTATTTTATGCAGGTATGTATGTTATGAGAAACCTTATCTCAGTGGAGTGCTTTGATGTCTCATGACAGGATGTTCTGAAGTAATCCAGAATATTTGATTTGTTTTTTTCACATGTTTATCTATTCCCAAAGTCGAAGGATTGTCAGAATTTTTTTACCCCACTTTTAAATTTTGTTTCCTTTAAGTATGGATGTTTATGTGTCTGTACTTAGAAATGGTCTGTTTTTTCTATGACATAGGAGGAAAACGCTGATTTTGATAGCTTCTCATTGCCTAGTTAAGGGAGCTAAGGCAAGCTTCCAAAAGTTTTTCTTCCAAAAGTTGAGGTTCAGCCTTTAATCTTCTAGTTGAGAGATGTGTTCCTTTTGATTAAGGTAAAACCTGAGCTTTCTGGAGTATGTATGGTTTCTCTCTTGCTACTGTATGAAAATGAAGAAAATTGTCTTACGTATTTAATCACTGTAGTGTGGAGACCTTGTCCAGATGTTTGATCTTGTAAACTTGGAGGAGGGTAGAAAGGCATCTATTTTAAACAATCACTGTCTGCTGTTGCACGTTATTCAAAGGGTGACATTCTAGATTGTTTTAATTTTTGATACTCTGTTTTAAAATGATATTTTAGGTTTAGGCAACTGCAATTTCTTCATTTCTGTAGAGATTGTAAATGTTCAGGCAAAGTGCATAGAAAACAGTCTCTCCTCTTTTGTCTTTTCCTGGTCTGATTATCTCTTCATCAGCCTTTAGTATCAGGGACATGGAGCCAGGTTTGCTCGGCAGTTTTTTGCAGAAATTTTTCTTTGAGGAACACGATACTAGAATATTTTTTAAAAAATCCTATTTCTGATTTTTTTAATTATGTTTGTTTCCTAAAGTAGGCTGCCTTCCCACCAGAAAAGAAGGTTTTCTGTCCAGTTTTGTAAATGTTAAATATTTTGTTTAAAAACATTGAATTTGATCCTGAATACAAAAGTATATATAGCTTTCAAATTAAACAGGCCTGCTTGAATTACTTGAAAAGGTCTTGCTTTATTTACTGATGAAGTTGAACTGCCCATTCTCTCAAGTTTCTATTTTGATATACCAATAATCCCTTCCTGCTCCCTGAGAAATTAAAAAAAAAGAATTACCCCCACCCCCACACCCCCAAAAAAATATTAATCTATAAATTATGGGTGCAGTTTAGATTACTGTGAAGATGTGCAATGCCCTAGTCCACATTCTTTCAGATTGTACTCTCATCAGGATAGCTGGAAATACCTATGTTACGCAACTCAGCTGAATAACAGTATAGAAAGAAATTGCAGATTTGATGATTTACTGCTGTGGTGCAGCAATCTCTGGTGGGAACTAAGGATGAAATTGTGCACAATAAACTTATAGGAGAGTGAGGAAAAGCCGGAAAAATAAGGCAGATGGTAACATTTGTTGTTCAGAAGGTTCTAACGGTGTTTTGCTGAAAGAAGTTTGGGATACCGGACGCTGAGGTTTATTCTCAAGACAGCTAATGAAAGTGCAAAGGCAATAGGAGACTTTTGCTTTGAATCTAACAGATTCCAGCCTGGAGACACAGTGCCTGAAACCACCATTTATTCAGTGTGTTTATTCAGTTCTTTGCTGTTGTAATGCTGTCAAAACAGAATGCGAAGTCATGGTGTCTGTTGTGACGTAGATACTTACTCAGGCTTAAATCAAGATTGTAGGTCCATTCGGGGGGTCAACTGAAAGCTTACAGTTGTTTTTTTAGAATAAGTCTATGCTATAATTTATTTTGCTATCTTCTAAATGTTGGTTTAGAAACTACTGGTGATATGCCAAATACTGAGCCTGGTCAAATTTAAAGAAATTATTCTGGATGTGAACAGCTCTTTATCTTCTTACCAAGTTTTAAAATACTAACAACTTCTCATAGGGTTTAGTAACATTCTCTGTTTTACGTACTAAAATATATTGTCATATGTTTGTGTTATGTTTTCGTAATCCACCCAAAGGCCTTTTTCACAAGCATAGAGAATCAACATGTTGTGAAGTCATCTTTGAAACTTCATTTAAGACAAAATATGTTAGCAGGAGCAAGAGGGGAGTGCTTAATATCAGGGCTGCTTGATTCTCCAGTTGGTTGAGTGTGCTCAGGAAAAGAGATGAGAACTGTCCTCCCCACTGCTACTCCTTCTTCAGCTTCATGACCAAAGTCATAAATTCACGCTCTTAGGCCAGCTAAATTAAATGTCTAGGTAAGAGCTTGAGAACAAATAACTTTAAACAAGATTGGTTAAACAAAGCATGCGTATTTTGCCTTAATTTGGAAGTAAAGAGCAGAAGAAGAGAGAGTAGGAGGGGGAGTCACGCTGACATGCAGTTCAAGTTGAATGGAAAATATAAACCCCTGGAGAAGATGGAAACAGTTGTCAGGTAGTTTCTGCCTTACAAAAAAAATGAGGGAGGGGGGAAAAAATAATTTTGAGCTACTAATTGCAATTAAAATTTGAATAGTTATGGAAATCAGTCTCCTCTGCTCTGTGGGGGTAGAGGAGAGTACTGAACGCCCTTCTAGCAACATAGCCTGGCAAAGCAGCTAAAATTTCATCTAGTTAGTCATCAGAAAACTGATCCCACAAGCAAATGCCAGCCTAAGTCATCTTCACAGGGACCTAGTAACACAAAGCAGTAAAATCTCTGTACTGTATTTGACTAAAAGGCAGTTGACACCTCTACAAAATCTGGTTGTGGAGCGCATGCAATGCCATCTGTGACATAGCTGCATCTAACAGTTTACAGAACGTCTTAGCAGATGAAATTTTTAGATGACCCTGATGAGCTGTCCAAGCTGTGAGTCGCACAGAGATGTCCAGCGTCCGTAAGCATTCAAGTTAGATCTGTTTGCTATCAATCATACTCAGCCTGCAGCTCAAATGGTGCCTAAGCCCTGGCTGTGTCACATAGTTTCCTCACTTCATAGATAAGAGAGGTTACTTACACCTGCTTACGGATCTCATTAACATGAGTGGTGAGGAAGCTCTGATAAGGATTCAGCATGAACAATCTTTCCACTGTTCTTCGGAAATATTGTTACTTTTCTATAGTTAGCTTTTTACAGTGTGAATAGACAATTCGCTGCCTATCTTATTCAAAACAAGTAGAAGCTGTGCAAGCAACGCCTATCAAAGCTATGTACAATATGATAAGCGAAAGGCAAAATTTCCTGGCTACATTTTTGGTGGGATAGGGGGCTGATTTTTTTTTGTTGATGGGGGTGTTTTGTGGAGAGAAAAGTAGAACCTTTGGTTTGCTAAAAAGCCTTTGTCTGCAGTTGGATTTGCAGCTCCATTTTCTTCAGGCTGAATCAAAGGGTAGAGTTTAGCAGCCTAGTTTAGCATCAGAAATGATACCTGTATTTAATTAACTCCTTTGCAAAAAACCAAACAAATAAAAAAGTATTTGTTTTTGGATCCAGGCAGAAAAGGCCTTGATCCTTTCAAAGGCTAAAGTGGTTTCAAACTTTTGTGAGCCAGTCAGCAGAAGGGCTAGACAGACAGAAATGCACAGCTGTGGTAGACTTGCAGCTTTCTTTATGTGCCTGCTATGCTTGAGTGCCATAGAGGAAGATGTGTTCTGAGCTGTATTTGAGATTGCCTGCACTGTTAGCAAAGGGGTGCCTGCAGCTCAGAGGAGAG